AATTTGATTTGGAATTAAATGTAATGAAATGAAAATATACTGAACGTCTTTGTGGGTCGCCGAGTTCATCCAACCCAGAACTAAGTGTATATAAACTGAAATTTTAAACTACTGAAGTTATAAATTCAGTCAAACTTCTTGGTTTGTTAACTTATGGGTATCGTTGATAGTTAAATTTGTTTCTAGTGTAACACTCTACGCTGAATTTTTACCCACACAACAACGCGCTAAATGTGTAGTTCTGCTTGATGTAAGTTTTGTTGCATTTGTGTTGTCTTTTTTGGACCTAGATTTGTTTTGCAGTGTTTTTGGGCACTAGGTGCCTGTTTTGAAGTAGCGTTAGCACTAATTGTCATGCCAATATTAGGTTGGCAGTGGTTGTTAGCTTTGTCCACTGGGCCGTTGCTTGCTTTTGCTATGATATGCCCAGTAAGTATTAGAAATAATTTTTATTATCTAATTGAACGTAATTGATAAACATATATAGAATTGTTGTAACATGTTTTACAATTACTCTCTAGTGGCTTCCTGAATCTGCCCGATATCATGTTGCTAGTGGTCAGACGGAGAAAGCTCTTGAAACCTTGGAAAAAATCGCTAAAGACAATGGTAAACCGATGCTTTTAGGCAGACTCGTTGTGGATGATGTTACTTTGTCGTCTCCCCATCGGGGGCGATTCAGGGATTTACTTGTACCCTCTTTAAGACGGACTTCCCTACTGCTTTGGTTTATTTGGTGAGTTTAATGCCATTGCCTATAAGAACCACAACTCATATACGTTTTTAGGTGCTCGTGTGCGTTTTGTTATTATGGTCTGGTTCTAATGACCACTGAATTGTTTGAGTCCTCCGCGATAGCGTGTGCAGAGGGCCTTAGACCAGCACAGAGCTTAGACACATGTGCAGCCGATTGTAAACCTCTTCAGACTACTGACTATATTGATTTATTGTGGACAACTCTAGCAGAATTTCCCGGTAAGTATAAACAAAAAAATTAATATCTCTACACGATTCTAGTACTTATTTACTATAATTGAAAGCACCTAAGAGCAAGTAAATTGGTCTTCATTCTCTTATATTCAATTTGTTATTTAAAATAAATTAATTCTTCTGAGAACGGTCTTTTGAGTTCCGCAAAAAAAAATAAAGTAAATTAAAGGATAGATTTATGTAACGGCTTTGGGAACTCAATTCAGATACAAAATTTTAAATATCTCAATTGATTGTGACCAATTTATAATTTTTCCTTTGTTGATTTACACATAAACTTTTACGTAACTGTAATAAATTTATGACTTTCGCAAATATCAAAATTGCTTGTGAAACAATTTTTTAACAATTTTTTTGTACTTGTGAATAAATAAAGTCGATAAGTTGAATAAAGTATGATGATTTTCATTGGATAAGCATCCAATCAATGTAATTTTTGTTCAGTATTTTTCAAATATCCAAAGCTGCCAATCCAATCTAACACCCACAAGAGTGTGTTTACCACAGTTGTCTGCTTCAATTATCGATTTGTTCTTTCAGGCATTTTTATTACTATTTTTATAATTGAACGTTATGGAAGGAAAAAGACCATGGCGGTTCAGTTTGTTACGTATGCCATATGTTGTTGTTTTCTGGTAATATGCCCAGGAAAGTGAGTATTTTCATAGATTTGCCATCGATGCTGTGTGAACTCGTTCTGGCAAATGTACAATCAAAACTTTTTTGTAGGCGAACTGTATTAACTTTAATGCTGTTTTTGGCAAGAGGTATTATAGCAGGCGTATTCCAAGCAGCTTATGTTTACACCCCTGAAGTATATCCAACATCGTTAAGATCTGTTGGGGTTGGATCCTGTAGCGCAATGGCGCGATTAGGAGCTATGGTTACTCCATATGTGGCTCAGGTAAATAATTCAACCTAGTAAAGTTTTGACTTCAATAGCACTCATTTCAACACCATTTACATAAACGGGTTCTCAGGTTCTTTTGAAAACATCTATTACGTTCGCTACTTCCACTTATGCAGTGGCAGCGCTACTAGCGTCTATAGCCTGTATGTTATTACCGATTGAGACCGCAGGAAAAGAGCTTCCTGAAAATACATCGGAACAAAGGCAAGCCAACGCGAATACATAACTTTAATTCGCACGTATTTAATAAATTAACGGCAAAAATAAAATTGTTAAGATTGCAATTTAATAATCTCAATAATTTTGCTTTTTCTCATACTAGAATTGTAAGTAATGGTTATTGAGTTCTTAACAAAACAAAAAAATTCGCGAAAAATATTAGATATATATGTTTGTCTATTGTATTTGCATATTGGTATAATAAGCTAACACTATCAAATTTCAGCAAATTGTTGTGATAGCATAAACACCAAACAACTGTTTGTGTACATGTGTAATTTTCATTTTCCTGTAAATATGAATATCTTCAAAGTCGTAATTTATTATGCTACTAAAGATAAATTTTCGTTATGCAAAGTCAAGTGGAACTTGAAGAACTGTTCTTTAAAACTTTTAAATTTTGTGGAGAAGCTCTATACTGCATTTAAGTGCCAAGAGTTTTTCAACTACTTTGCGAACTAAAATGGTAATATTTTCTCTGTAGAGTATAAATATTTTTTATGTACAATTGTGAGCAGTGTAATAATCGTCTGAAACTTACTGCATCGTTTGGTTAGTGCGGTTTTGAAAAATTTTCGAATTTTTCCCCAAATCTTTGAAAGTAAAGTACGAACATTTTGGAATTCCGCTTCTTTGCAAAGGGGTTTCTTGCATTGGCCAAAAATTATACATCCTATTTGGATGAAACAAACTTATTTCTTTTATGGAATATTTGCTTCATAATCAACTGTAAAGATTTTACTGTAAGGAATTAATCAATCATAAATATGGGAATAAACAAAAAACCAAGGAAAAATTCAAGCTAGTAGATAATAAAATAAAATTAAGCAACTTTTCTGTAATTTAATTATATAAGTTTTAAGACTCAACAATCAGCGTGTAATATAAATCGAACATATTTATTTCTATTTTTAATATTAGCAATATTGTTAAAGGCGGTTTTACTTAATGAACATGCAATTAATACCAAAGTCTTCTTTCAGTACTTATTTGTTTACCATTATTATTTAGCTAGGTATTTATAGTATTTAACTACGTTAACCAAGTACCTTTTTATTTATTAAAAGTATTATTTATATTGTGATTATTTGGTGCTGGGAACGCAGTTTTAAGGCTGTTAAAACATAGGCTGTTATAAGTATGAAAAAAAAGGATATTAATTTACTTATTGTCTTTTCTTTATGTAATGAAAAAACACTGTATATAACATTTCAAGGAAGTTGTCCAGGTGCCATTTTACTTCGTACAGCTTTCCCAAATTCGTTCGCTCCAGCTTGATTCGTTTCCTCATACCCTGGAATGGTTAAGGCGCATCTCGCTAACCAATTGTTTACGTTTTCATAGGCTTTAATATCCCATCCAATTGCCTATAGGCAAAATTAGCAAAAATTACTCAAATACCTGCAAAATGCATCTAAGAAAAACTTCAGTACAAAAATATTACAAATTGGGAACTTGGAGAATTTATGCAAACCCTGATATAATTTTAAAAAATTAAAATATATGTATATTAAACCCGACATAATTACCACAATACTCGAGACTGAGGCAGCAAGTGAACAATCTGCAACTGTAAGCTTATCTCCAGCCACATAACTATTTCCATCTAGAAACACATCTAAAAAGCCGAGGGCCTCCTCGAGTGGTTGTTTATTTTCGTCAAGAATTTGATCTTCTCCTAGGAATAAGATTGGGAACTGCAAATAAATCATTGTATGAACGTTGACCTCATTAATAGGTAACTATGAGTAGACATAATAGTACCTACACAAATAGCTCGAATTCGGGGATATAAAGTTCCACAGTCAAAGTATAGGCGTTGATCGATTAAAGCCCGTTTTTTCACATCACTGGGATAAAATGTTGGATCTTTTCCATAAACTGTCGCTAAATAAGGTCCTATCGCATGGCTATCCCATACAATGAAATCACCATCGACCAGAGTAGGTATGGTATGTTGAGGATTGATCTAATAAGTTGCTTCATATTGTTATGTTCACACGACCAAGTACTTGATGATTTTCTGTAATATTTACCTTAATGAAATCTTCACTAAGCTGCTCTTTCTCAAATAAGTTTACTATTTGAACATCGATATCTAAGCCAATGGCTTTCGCTGTTAGTAATGCTGCTCTAGATGGTGCACTTGGGGGGAAATGATGCAAAGTTAGAACCATTTTCGTAACTAATAACAAAACACGAGTTTAAAACTTTAAGGAATTTTAACTGTATTTGTTGTTTGTTATGACTTGAAGCTTGCCAACTTAACCTGTAACCTGAACAGGTGTCATTGACCTATAAACAACGAATACCTACCTAGTAGAAGCGAAAGTTTTTCTGTTGCATAACCTGCAAGAAGCTGAAATTCATGAAGCTTATCTACGTTAAATCAAAATTAATCCGACCAAATTTAAGAAGTTAAATAATAGAAAATAGATTATTATATTCTTGCATATGATTTGTGCTGATCGGTAATGATAGTTTAAAAAATATGAGAAGTAAAAAAAAGGAACCAACGCAAGGTTATCCAAATTTTGCGTCAATTTATTTGAAGAATTCGAAAAAATAAGCAATAAACACATTTTTGATTGTTTTTCTGGAAAAAATTAGCTCTTGTATATGGTATTTCAAGTTTGCTTTTACGTTGTATTTTAATGTTTTACGTAAATTGTCATGTTTCAAGAAAAACGCAACATACATGTCGTGACAAATATGTAAAAATAAGATTTTGTGGTTAGTTCTTAAATTGATCTCTTCAAAACTTAATATGTAAGGCAATGACAAAAATAGAAGTCAGGTTTTCCTTCATTGGGCTTAAATCGGTCAAACATTTTACATAAAAAGCACGCGCAACTATGTTGCTTATTGCAAGGAAATTGCTCTTACTTACCTTTTACTTAAAAATTGGTTATATTTCAGTTCAATAATAGGTAAAAAACGAGTAATTAAAATTTGTGTCTATCAATGTCGGTCGGTAGGTACCAATATTTTACTCTTTAAGCGATGATTAATAAAATAATTTTATCACTCTTTATGAAAAAAATCCTAACTATAATATGTTTTTACTAGAAAACTGTTTTATTGATTAATCAATATAATGCAGATAAAAATTCTTATTCGGACCCGGTTGCCCACAAAAATGAAAATCGGTAGAGATTCTAGGCCATTTTCGTCCTAGTGATACTTTTTGAAAGTTTGCAATAAGAAAGTTCACGTAGTTAGCTAAGACTCCAGTAAAAAATTGAGAGAATACTGACTACTTGAATACGAGTTGTAAATATCTAACTAACAAAAAAATTATAATTTAATTCGATAAAAATAAAGGTTTTACAAAGGCAGCAAATTCTTAAACCAGACACACTGTACTAGCAAACTTTTAATTGTGACAGGAAAATCTATAAGCATATAAACCATTACTAATTTGGTGGTGGCATGGAAGTATTAATACTGGCTTACAACTTGCCAATCGTTCTTACGCTACAAGATCTTCTAAGTCATTTAAGTAATGGGGAATTTATTTGATAAAATTTGCACAAATTAATAGGATAACTTCAGCGGTATTTAAAAAAATCATTGTCATCTATTCAAAAGTTTCGTTTTTTTTATTGTCTATAGACCAGTCGATTCACCAGGCCCACAAACAATTTTAGAAAGTGGTTCGGTACACCCGCTAATTAAAATTAAACATTCCAACCATTGGAGAACTAATAACGCAGTTATTATAAAACTAATAATTTAAGTAGCTCTGAATTATTAGATATGGTACAAGTCTTGACATATAAAGAAACTAAAAAAAATATATTATTTCTAACTATGGAGTTATTTGTACACAAGGCGTGAGCTATATCTATGTTAAATAAAAAGTGTATAGTTTAAGTTGAATTAATTAATCCCAACATTTAAACGTTAGCCAATTTATATTAAAAATTAATTAAGTTCTCTTGCTCGATCATCTTTAACAATTGTAAGCAATTTCAATACCAATTTTCATTCAACACAATATTTCAATTGTGTTGTAGTAACAGAAGAATTCCTGCTCCTCTTATGATCATGTTCAGTTTGTTCTGTAAAATGCTTAGCAATATTAGTTAACAATTAATTTTTAAATCACAGGAGCGCGCTGCAATTTAAGTACAGATAATTATTTGTGAATTAGCTGGTCATAAGTCACATTATTCACACCATTCTGGTCTCGCTCATCAAACGGCAAACATTCGTAGACGTTCTCGGGGTTCGCCTGAAGACGTCTTTTTCTATTTCTCTTTCCAATGCACCTTAAATTGAAAAAAAAATTAAGTTTAACCGTTACTGTTACTTTTGGAGAATGAAGTTCTCCAGAAGAAAAAGAATGAAGTGAAGGAAAAAACACGCCGCTGCTTGCATTACGACCAGCAAAATTTAAATAATTTTGCAAGATTACCTGGACAGTGCCATACGCCACAATGAGTCGAAAACCCTTGATGCAACGACCACAAAATTTTCATTTGTGCCAATTTTTTTCAACAATTACTTCTGTCACGAGCAAACATTGTTTAAAACTACGTTGTCCTATTTGGCGTTAATCAAGGTTTAAAAACAAAATATTCCTGAGCACGCATTATGTGTTTTAATTTTTATTTATTTGTTTTTTGAAGTGATAACTTTTTATGGGAGGGTGAACCGATTTTTCTCGGTCACGGCGGCTCCCACTTCGGCCTCTTCGCGCCTGAGTCCTGAGGCTTGGGACGCACATATGCACTTTGAATTCGAGATTTTTCTCTTAGTGCGGGTGCATCTGTAGATCTGATAAACTTTTTAAATATACATTGCGTTATTAAACTGACAGTGATTTTGATTTATCAATTATTGAGTGTGATATTATTGTGTTCGGTGCAGTTTATTTTATAACGCTGATAACAATGAATCAACAAATTATCAAGGGAGAAGTTGCAAATACTGCAAATACTAGGTTAAGGGTGCTCATCTACTAAATGCCTGTTCGAGTTTCGCCTTCTTTTAAATTTACAATTAAAGTACACACGCAAGTATACACCCTAAAGCAGTTTAAGTGTAAAAAAATTCAGATCGTCCATCAATTTGCGGAAAAATGTATTACAAACTTTTGAAAATCATCTTCAAACGACCATTGCAAATGAGATTGCACATTGCCGTGCACTGTTAAATATTGTTTTAAGAACTAACAATCGATGTTGTGCAACAAAATTGTGCCTAAGATCCA